GGCGCAGCGCGGACTCCACCCGGAGCCTCCGCGCGCTGGGGCGGCGCGCAGCCGAGAAAGGGCCTGCCCGAGAGGGAGGGGTGGGGGGAAAACTAGCAGAAGGGAGAGCCAGCCGCAGCGGGGGACGCCAGAGGGAGGAGGAAAAGATGGAGGCCGGGAAAAGCAGAGCAAAGGGCCCAGCGAGACCGCCAGAGACAATGCTAAACGAGGGGGTGATCCTTGGGGCCGGCCCCTTTCCTGGGGTAACTTCTGGCAAGCCCCTCACCGGGCAATGGCCAGGTCTTGCCCAAACTACCTGCCTGCGGCTAGCCCCCAGGGCTGGCTTCCAGACCAGGGGCACCTAGAGGTCGAAGCTTCCAGACAAGCCAGGCCTGGCTTGCATTACAGAGAGATGGGCTAGGTCAGCCTATATAGAAAGGGCTCCCCGATTCTGGCCCTGGGCACCTCCCCATGCTGGTGGCCGAGGCCCATATCCCCGTGTTCCCCAGGTTTAGTTAGCTGAAGGTGGGAGTTCCCCTTGGGGTTACCTCCACTTTTCTAAGCAGGGAAGCCTGTGTGCTATCAGTTTAGGGCTGAGGTCCCAATGATTTCCCAGAGGAGGCCGTTCCTAGCAGGGCCGGGAGATCTGCCCCAGCCTCTCACTTTTCAAGTCTGAGAGATTTGGGTTTCTCTCCCGCTGTCTTTTTGCAGCATTTTTTAGACCTAGCAACCTGGCTGCAGGTGCCATCGTCTCTCAAGAGGCCACTGTCCACTCTGACCCTCAAAGTGTGTACCTGACCAATGCCTCCATTTGCCTTTCCCCAGAAAAAGCAAAGGTGTATCAAGGTGTCCGGGTGAAGATCACCGTGAAGGAGCTGCTGCAGCAGAGGCGGGCACACCAGGCAGCCTCAGGGGGAACCGTAAGCAGAACTCCTCACTCACCCCTTGTCAGGAAGGGCGCAGAGGTCCCCCTTGTCCCCTGTGACCATCCCCAAACCTGGCCTTCCTCAGCTGTCCCTGTAACATCTGTGGTGCCTTCATCCCAGTTCTCCAGGAAGATACAGAGACCGCTTGGGGGTCATGGTCTGCACCTCTGAGCTTTTAGGTCCCCTGGAGGGAGAGGAGCAACCAGGGATAAGCAGGCTGTTGTTCTACGAGGAACACAGTACTTGTGCACACACACACACACACACACACACACACACACACACACACACACACCCAGAAGGTCACGTCACTGTATGTAGTCTTCCAAGGGTAGCACCTTCTGGATCTCTACTTGTGAAGCCATTTTTCTGTAAGTCACTAGCCACTGGGAGTTCCGAGCAGAAAGGAGCCACATCCTGGTAAGGAGCCCCCTTGGAATCCAGAGCCCCATCCTGAAGGTGTAATGTGGCCTTGGGCAGGCCTGGGTTATCACCAGACGGATCTGGACAGTCAGAAAAGTGCCCCGACACATTAGATACCTTCTGAAAAAGCAGATAACTATTACCAAAGGCACGACAACATCAGAATCAAATAAAGTGGTGTGTTCTCCTCTGAAGGTAGTTCTTTGCTGTTCAAACAATTGCTTCATTAAGGGCTGGCTCGAGTGTCCCAACAGCTGCAGACCAAATTGCCTGTTCGGATTGATTCTCTCTACTGCCTGTTGGCATCTGTCCGACAGTGGGTTTGGGGCCGGGTGCTGTGTGGGTGTCACGCCCAGCTTCCCTTTCTTCCTGGAACTGGTCTCTGTGATGCAGGGACTGTGAGCCTAAGCTCTAGAACTAGATAGACTGGGTTCAGGTTCTCAGCTCCCCCAGAAACCAAAACTCGCTGCCATCCAGCCCAGGCCAACTCATGGTGACCCTATAAAGTAAGCCTTCCCCTGTGGGCTTCCAAGACTGTACTTCTTCATGGGAGCAGAGCCTCATTTTTCTCCTGAGGAACAGCTGACAGGTTCAAACTCCTGACCTTGCATTTAGCAGCCCAATTCCTAACCCACTATGCCACCAGAGCTCCTCTAGCTCTTCCACACTGTGAGCAAATTACTCTCTCTGATCTTAGCATTTCCTCTTTCCATTGGAGATAATAGGCTTTTGTAAGCATTGCATGGGGTACTGCTTGCTAAGCACTTGGGCAGGTGTTTTTTTTCACAGACTAGGTGCTTAATGTTAGCTATTATAATTACTTGTGCATAGCAACTAACCCAAAATTCCAACTAGGGATTAACAGCCAACTATGCAGAGAATGTACCCTGGCACCCAGCACTCAGAGTTTAGAGTTCAGATAGGAGTGCCTTGAGGTATGGCACACAGCACACCCAGGGTCTGCCTTTACTGGAGGTTGGCACCAGTATTTCATCAGACACAATAAAACATCCCTACATTTGTAGACGGCTTAGCAATGGCTCATCCCTTAAAGCATTTCCGCACCTCTACAATTTCATTTCACTCTGATCCAACCAGGTCAGGTAAGGAATCAGGGATCCGTGTCCGTTGATTGCAGCTGAAGTTTAAAGGCTTGAAGAGCTAAGAATAGAACCAAAGTCTTCATAGTCTTAGTGTACAACAGACTTCCACCCATGAAACAATTAATCTTTCTGCAAGTTCAGGTGCAGTGAACAGGTGTCTGGGAGCCTCATCCCCTTCAGCTCAGAGATGGTTGTAAAATTAATCGAACCAGGTACAAAGAAGCTGGGGGATGCTTCCGGAACAGGAAAACAAAACAAAGCACAGAACTATCAAACTTCACAGCAAAAAATACGATCTCTCATTAATAAGTTTGGCTTCAGATGCACTTGAAATAGCCCCATTTGGCCATGACTATTTTATTGCTATGGTCTCTTCAGCGGCCTTCCCTCCTCCCTCCTTAGCCAGCTTCAGCGAGGCAAGCACCCGTTGTTTTTGAGCCCTCAAGCAGTCTTGGCTTCCATATGTTTTTTTCTGCATTTCCCCTGGAGAAAGAAAAAAATCAGTCTGCTTGAACTGATCCCTTGCAGGACCATGCAGAAAGTAGGCGGCTACATTTTGCTTCCTGGAAAATTAGGCCAGCCATGCCTTCGCAGACATATAAAGTGAACACAGGTCATTTCAATACAGGAGGCAGACATGAAACCCTTCCCTCAGAGCCGTCTGGAGGAGCGTGGATGCTGAGAAAGCTGCGGTCAGGATCATGGAAGTCCTTGACAGGTGCCATCCAGTCTGTCCAGCTGGTGGCGACCCCATGTGGGCAGGATAACTGGCCTTTCAGAGGAGTAGAGCAGCAGGCCTGCCTTCTTGGGTGGGCACAAACTGCCTATCTTGGAATGTTTAACCTTGTGTTCCCTGCACCCCACCCCCACCCCCCCCCACCCCCAGTGGCAGGTAAACCAAACCAAGCAGAATAGCAGGTGGCCAAATTCACTGCCGTCCAGTCCATTCCCACTCATAGCGACCCTCTAGGACAGGATCGAACAGCCCCTGTGAATGGCAGGTAGCAGGGGGTCTTTCCATGCCCACCAATAGGTTCCCTCGGTGAAGGACGCCCTTGGGAAACCTTAAGCCAAGAAGGTAGTTAAGCGGGAAAGAGTTTGTCTTCATGTTTCTGATAGCGTCAGAGTGGTGCCCACCATTGGGAATTTTAAGAAGGCAATCGTGAGTGGGCATCCTAGACTGAGGCCAAAGATCAGGCGCTTGACATCAGCAGTGCCTGCAGAAAGGTGTGTGTGCCAGCAGACAGGTACATTTGATTACAGAAACACGCTTCAGCCAGATCGGTTTGCAGACACACCAGAAACACACACACACACACACACACACACACACACACACACTTCTGTACCTGTAGGGCAAAGGAAAGCTGGAATAAGTCCTTATCAAAAGATATAATTTACCTTTATGTTTTTGTTTTTTTACACCTTCCCCCTACCCTTCCCCTTTTGAAGCAGCCTTGATGTGTTTTTATAAATGGTAGATTGTGGATTTGGGTGCAGTTTGAAACCATAAAGAGGTGCCTTTCTTTGTCTTGTGGGAGCCAAGTAGAAAGGGAACCCATGGCTAGAAAGATAATATCAAGTAGGATATTGTAAACATACCTCAGGGAGATAACGTGGGGAGGCAGACAAACAGGCCAATCCGGGGGAGGGATGGGGTGAATGCGAGCTCGCACCGAAGCCGGTTTTTTAAAACCCACGCCTTTCAAGTCCTTTCGCCCAAGCTGCAGCCAAATATTTGCATAAAGAGCTGGTAACTGATTCCAGCTTCCTGGTTCATGACATTACAGCATGGATCGTTTTCAAAATTACCACCACCTCCTGTTTCAGCAGTGGCAGATCATGCAGCCCTGTGTACGGAGCGAGTATGCCCTGTAACCCAAGAGAGAGGTGTGGTGGTAAGCTTGGCTTCCTGGCAGCACAGAACCACAGAGTGATGCCGTTCCCTTTAAAATTTAAAGGCACCAGCTGAAACCAACTGGGAGGGGCGGGGGTGGTGGTGGAAAGAAATCTACATGACTTTGTTCATACAATTATCAATTCAGGGATAAAAGGCAGGTCGCATTACTTTACATAGTCAAGAGGAGCCCTTGTTTAAACTTCAAGTCTTTAGAGCCAGTGGTAAAAGGGGAAAAAAAGAAACTTTTCTAAAACATAGTATAGCGGAGGATAAGGAGTTTAAATTTTTCCCAACCACTGGGGAGCGCATAGACAGGTTCCTGCCCACTGATGACAATGTCATTTCGAGACAGCATTTTCTATTTAGATGGATGGTAGAGAATAAGAAGCTGTGGACATAGCTATTCAGAATACAGTCGGGTCAGCAATGGTTGCCTTTGGGGCAAAAAGCAAAACAAAACAATTCTCGAGGTTAAACCACCAGATGAAGATTTTTGAGGAAAATGATTGTCTCCCTGTCAGAGAGTGAAGGATTATGTCACGTGAGTCTCGTCTAAGTTTAAAGGTAATCATTTGCTAGAAAAGGACTCTTGACTGAGCTTGCTGTTAACAACACCTAACAGTTCGGTGGGGTTAAAATCAAAATCAATAACCTTTACATTTTAAGTTGGAGGGCTTGCATGGGGGTTTAGAACCCCAAATCAATATTAAAATTAGTTTACAGGAAAGAGACTTGATTGAATGCCATGCACAGCAGTGCTTTTAGAAGAAAGAATATAACTTTACCTTATAGCAGAAGGAAGTGCAGTTCACGTCAAAATGCCTGAGCGCTCTCTGCATAGAATTTTCTGCATCCAACGGGTCCTTCCCTGTGGCATGATGATTCTGTTCTTGCGTTGGCAGCTGTCCGGGAGCAGCAGTGCCCAGCTCGCAGACCCAGCCGTACCATCTTCTGCAGGTCAGTCCAGCCACATCACAGTTCCCTCAAAAGCTAATTTCAAAATCCATCTCGAAGGACTTCCAGTGCTTGATTCGGGGGTTAAAATAGGCACCACCATTTCACTGGACTCCAACCAATCAGAGGGTGAAAGAGGCACAGTGCCCCCTTTGCAAGCCCAGCGAGGAAAGCAGTACACGTTTTGTTGTCTTCTGAGCCGTCTCTCCTCTCGTCAGGGTTTGTTCTTCCCGTTCACTCCAGGTCCTCAGCACCAAGTCACTAGACTGAAAAATCAGAACTGTTTTCTCCCGAAACGTGGTCTACGTTAAGAAGTGTCTTGGTAGGTGGGCTCCAGACCACCCTGAGACACCAGACTCATGCTCTTTGCTCTTGTTCATTTAGTTTCCAGCCGACAGGGGCTTCCCTCCCCTTCCTCTCTCTCTTCCCAGAAATAGTTCAAACAAGCGTAAGTTTTCTCAGCCTGGTACGAAGAGACTATTACATAAACACTCCTACCTATGCCACTCAACAGCTGAGCCTTCAGGGGAGGTCATATATAAAGAAACCTATGTTGATGGTAGCACCCTATGAGTATGTGCCATAAACTTACCTTAAAGGGACCTTAAAACTCAGGAAACTTCAGTGCCCTGCTGCCCCTTGGGAGGGACACACTCCAAATCTCTCTGTGGAACAATTGAAGATCCTGATGACCCCCTGGGCCCTCTTAATAATCAAACCCAGAAGGTGTGGTGTCTTCAGAATTATTCCTGCTTGGTGTTGAACAGGTTATTTTCATTGCAGTATAGGCTGAGCATGCTCAGGAAGACAATCGTCCTGCTTTTATGTAATGCAAAACAAGCACGACTACCGTGTAATCTCCAGCCCTGATTTCTCAAGGGTGCATTGCTATTGATACCACTTCTTATAACCCTCTTCTCAGAATTTAAAGTTACTAAGTGTGGAAAAGCCTAAATCAAGAGAATTATTTCTTACAGAGTCAGACGTTTTCTTCAAGCCTCAAACACCCGTCTAATTTACCTCAGGGAGATGTGCTTCAACTGCACGTAGGGCTAGATGTTGGCCCCTTATAGTCCAAGAAAGTCTAGGCTGAAGCCATTACTCGACCTCTCGGCACAGGTTGAATCCTCATTCGCTTCTCTTTCTCACAGCCATGTTTTATAGCCAATTTCCACAAGACTTACCAGATTTATTTCACTAGGGCTCTAACTAAAACAGCTAAAAACTCCAAATTGCCTGCCGGCTTACTTTACTGGAACTCTTAAGCCTCCCTTTCCCTGGAGGTAATAAATACGCAGACTATAGGGTAAAGTTCCCTTAGAATCCGTGAGCACAATTTTTAAACAAAGGTCTCCCATTTTCATTTCTCCTCTAGGACTGTTTTTTGAGCCTGAACCAATTCCTTCCACACCCAGTTATTTTCAACCCCGAGAGTTTTCCAGTTGTATTTCCTGCGAAGACAACCCCAGCTGCATCGACCAGATCTTTGATTCCTACCTTCAGATGGAGACACCCCTGGACCCTTCACTCAATTCCGTGCAAAGCACGTCACATTATTTCCCAGACAGCTCCCAGGCTGCCCCTTTCTGCTTCAACCAGAGCCTGGTAATTTCGCTCCGCTCTTTACAAAACTCAGTTATTGCTTTTAATGGGCTTAGAATTGCTTTGAAGAGAGTTAGCATTCTCTATGGAGGGAAGGAAATCCACAGAAGGACCAGGGAACCTTTTTTTTTTCTTTTTTTTTTTTTTAGCAAAGGGAGTAGAAAAAGCCACACCTACATACTTAGGACATCCCCTGTAAGTCACTCCCAAGGAAATTGATAGGTGGCAATATAAAGAGACTTCCTAGCAATATTCATGGAATTGTTTTTTGAATGGAGAAGTTAAAAGACACCTGGTAATTGGAAGTCACTGACTTGTACTGTGGCCCTTAGGAAACCCAACACTGCAGTTGATCGGTGGAAATTTGAGTTCTTGAAAATGGAATTAAGGTGGTGTCACGGGTTACGCATTGCTGCTAAAAGTCAGGTCAGCAGTACAAACCCACCAGCTGCTCCTTGGGAGAAAGATGAGACTTTCTGTTCCCATAAAGAAACTCACAAGGATGGTTCTACTCTGTCTTGTCAGGTCGCTGTGAGTCAGAATTGGCTCGATGGCAGTGTTTGGGACACGGTACCACATTGTCATATAAGGGTAAACTCCAGCTTGGTTTTGTCGCTGCTGGCGTGGGTTAGCTCTGCTGGCTAGTTCTTGGAACCCTGGTGGCGTAGTGGTTACAAGTTGGACTGTGGTCCACAAGGTTAGCAGTTCAAAACCACCAGCTGCTCTATGGAAGATAGAGCTTTTTATTCCCGTAAACAGAGTTTCAGAAATTCACGGGGGCAGTTCTAGCCTGCCCTACAGGGTCACTGTGGGTCAGTATTGACTCAGTGGCAGTGAGTTTGTTTGGAGTTTGGCTGGTTCTTTAGGTCTGCCATCCAGGCACCAGAACTCATTTGGTCCAGAGATAGTTAGTAAAAAGGAAGCTCTAATATTGGAAAGAATTTGGATCAATGTCTGCTGGATGCATGCCAAATGATTGGGCATGTGTTGCCCTTTTAAAAGTGACGTGAGGTGTCCATGAGTAGATATGCACTCCCTCCCTCACTGCTAGCAAGTCCATTCTGACTCAGAGATCCGATGAGTGGGTCCGTGTCATGAGCTTTAGAGCCATAGCGCTATACGGGAGTCGAGAGCCCCGTCTTTTTACCACGGAGTGGCTGGGGGTTTTGAGATGCTGGGCGTGCAGTTAGCAGCCCAAGTCGTCACCACCACCGTTTTGGTTATTGAAGTATCCCAAATGTATCCTGAATGATCCGCTCTCCTCGGCGATCAGAGTATAAAGCAATCCCCACTGTTCCACCTGCAGCTTACATTGTGCCCCCACAGCAAGATCCGATGTGCAGGTGCCAGACGCACAATGGGAACGTGTGGTTTCAGAACAAAGCCTCCTCTAAAGTTTGGTGATAACAAAGGAGGGCAGTGAAGCAAGGCAATGTGTTGTGGGAAAAGAAATAGGTAAATAGAGACTGTGCTGTCTTGAAATCATGGAGTCAGCAACTAAGATTCCCCCTGCAGACTTGAGTTGGTGTTTGGTTTTGTTCCTTCATTTTGTTTGGGGCTAATCGTCTTATTCTGCATTAATAAAGCTACACGCACTATTTGGTTCTTTTGATCCTGTCTAAAGCTACTCTTTGTCCCTTGGTTTGTATTTCTCTAGACCCCAGGATCGCCTTCAGATTCCTCCACGCTCTCTGGCTCCCTGGACTACAGTTACTCGCCGGCTCAGCTCCCTTCCTACGCTCCAGAGAATTACGCGTCTCCCCTGGCTCTGGACACTCGGAATTGTGGGTATCCCTCAGAAGACTACTCCTGCCATCACTTGCCCTCACACACCCAGTACAACTGCTTCTCGTCGGTCCCCGCCCCCATCTGTTACTGCGCATCTTGTGAGACAGAGCACTTGGACAGCATCCGGGCCTCTGAGTACTTTTCCTATCCCAACACAGACTGTGTGGACTTTGCTTCCTCCACAGCAGCAGCCAGTGAGTTCTACAAAAGGGAAACAAACTGTGACGTCGGCTATAGTTGATAGAGACAAACGAACGACAGCCGAGTGGAAAAGGCCTGGCATTTTCACCCCCTTTTTCTACCACACCCAAGGGAAGCCTTGAAATATATAGTCCATTAACAGACCATCACAAGGGCAGTTGACATGCCACCGTTTCCAATGTCCTGACCCTGAGTCAGCACAGGTCCAGGGTCCTCAGATCCCTCCACACTGCCACGCCTATTTGTCGCTTCCAGGGCAATATAGGGAACTTCCTATGGTTTTACTTTGCTCTGTAATGAACAAATCTCGCTCTCTTCTTCTTTTTTTTACTAATAAATAGTTTTGGGTTTCTAAATGTTGGTTGGTTGTTTTATGTGTGTGTGTATGTTTTGCATCGTTTCTGGGTTGTTGTTTTTTAAATAATTCCCAATCGATTAAAACATCATTGATTCATTCTAGAAATTAGACAGGATCAAAAATACTGATTCAGCGGTTTCATTTGCCTAGTCATGAGGTTGGAATTATTTGATGCAATTAGAGACCTTAGCTTCCACGGGACGGAGGATAGATCCAGCCATGATGATCGAAAAATGGAAGACCAGCCTCGGTTCAAATGAGTATATGTGTCTTGGAGCAGACTCAGAGAAAGACAGCCCCTCTCCATAACTTACATTAGTCAATGAGCTGTTCATCTCACCTAGAGGGACAGCTCACCTGCAGCTGAACTGTAGCCCTTTCTTTTTCATGTCTACGGTACTGTTTACAGGAATCCTAATGGCTGCTAACCACAAGGTCAGCAGTCAGAAACCATCAGCCACTTCTGGGAGAGAGACGGAGCTTTCTACTTTGGTAAAGATTTACAGTCCTGAAAATTCACAGGGGCAGCTCTATCCTGTCCTATAGGTTCACGTGTATCAGCATCAACTCGATAGCAGTGAATTTATTTGGGCTTTCAAGGTCTTGTTTTGTAAACTTGGAAACCTCCTTTCTCTTGGGAGCTGCCATAGAGTGGATGCGAGGAGGAGAATTCATTGTTTTATATTTGAAACCGCTGGTGGCTCTTCGGGAGAAAGATGAGGTGCTCTACTCCCATTAAGGGTTCCAGCCATAAAGATTACAGCACAGTCAAGATTTTACACAGCTGTGGTGAGATGTGCTTGTTGGTCACAGGAACATCTCATTAACCAATATAAGATATGGGAGATTAATTCTTTGTAACTCTCTCTGATGTTGCTCTAAGATGCACACCCTTATTCAGCATCAGGCTTGGTAACATGGAGGGACAGCAGACAAGGGGAAGACCCTGGGTGGGTCAGATTGACATAGTGGCTACACCAATGAGTTCAAATGTAGAAAGACGCACGAGAATGGCCCCTGTGTTGGACCAGGCAGTGTTTTGCTCTATTGTACAGAACGTCACTGTGGGTCACAACTGACTTGCCGGCATTTAACAACCCTTCCCAGAAGAATCCTGCCCTCTTCGATGATGTGTAAAAATGACTACTGCTCAGAGGTCCTCTTTGAGGGGCTCAAATTGTGTTCCTTTTGGCTGCACTTGGGTCTCAGGGACAAAGAGAAACATATGGGGATAACAAGGTCAGGGCTACAGTGTGGATGAGGGAAGGTCTGGCAACAAACTTCCTACAGAACCACCCTTGCTATCCTCAAAGAAGGAGCAGGTGCACTGTGATGATAAAAAAAGGGCGGGGGGGGATTCATCAGTACAATTTCCCTGGCCTTTCCCTCACAAGTAGTTTTCAACTTTCTTAAGTCTCTATAATACGCCCCATAACCACCCTACATCCTTAGAGCCAAGCTATGAGAGTCCCACAACACAGTCCCTGTAACCTTCGGCGCTGACCTCGCTGACATAAATGGAATTGACTCACTAGATTCTCCAGAAAGCCACTGCTTTGGTGGGACCATTACTGAGAGAACATGGGTACAGCCATTCACTGATCGAAGGGACATGTTTCAATGGGTTTTGCGGGAAATAAACCCATGCACGTAGGAACTGGAACACTAGTGACGCACTTTTGTACTATTCTAAATGAGATGGATTTCAACCCACTACCATCGAGCCAATTCCAAGTCACAGCAACCCTGTGGGACAGAGTAGGGTTTCTAAAACTAGAAATCTTTAAAGGAGCAGAGAATCTCTTCTTTCTCCCATGGAGCGGCTGGTGGGTTGGAATCTGCTGCTTTGTGGTCAGCAGGCTACCACTGCACCCACAGCGTGCCAGGGTTTCTTGAATGGAGTCTCTCACTCACGGCCATCAAGTCAATGCTGACTCACAGTGACCCCCGGGGGGTTTCTGAGACTGTAACTCTTTACAGGAGTAGAAAGTCCAGTCTCTCTTCTGAGGAGCTGCTAGTGGTTTTGAACTGCCAACCGTGTGGATCACAGCCCAGCACATACCCACTACGACCACCAGGACTCAACTAGGTATCTTTTCATATCCCATTTGCCACGAGCATTAAAACATAGGACTTAATCCCAACGTGAAGTCTCAGACAATGTGACATATCTCAGGATTCAGCCATGCTGGCCTCATTAGCATAGGCCACTGTGGTATGAGCCCTATCTGGGTGCCAGCACTGTTCGAAGGGTTGTCTCCCACATGATCAAAAGTGGAGTAGCCTGCCTCATGCACCCGGCCAAGAAGCAGCGAGCCCTGCTCATGACTAACTCTCCAGCACTGGAGAATTTGAGCGAACAGTCCCCAGTGTCTTCATGCATGCAAAGATGTGTCGCCATCATTAACCAAGACCTCCCCAGAAAGTCAGCCTGCCCGCCGCCAACCAAGCTGCCAAGGACGAGAGCTCGCGGAATCCGAGCTCTGGCAACCTCAGAATGAAGCTGACTAACTGCCACCTCGGTGCCTCTTTCCTGCCAGGAGACAGACGGATGTGCTTTCCACATGACACCATTTGATTTTCCTCTCCCCCGGGCCGCGGCTAAGGCTTGGGCAAACAGGACAAGTTGCAGCCTGCCTCATCAGCAGCTGTACCAGGAAAACAGAATACCCGGTGCCTTTCTGAAACGCCAATAAAACGAAATTTTTAATAGCACCAAACTAAATGGAATCGCGCCTCTTGTCAACAAATATCTATTCAGTGGACCCAAAGCCTCAGCATAACCTCCACTCCACCCCAGCAACTATCCCCGAAGAGCAAAGAGCTCGAAGATGGTCAGTGGATGGCACCCAAAGAGCCTATTCTGAGCTGCCATCCTTTTAATCTGTTACCTCTGGCCTCTGATCTCAGGTGGCCATTACAAGTGGTCTGCTTCGGTCTGCCTGCCCATCCTCTTAGCAGCCATGCTTTGCATGCAAAGTCCTATGACAGCAGGAAAACATCAGTGTGGGGGGAGGTCAGATGCATAGGCATCCCCCCCCACTGGACAATCAGTTGCCAGATTGCCCTCTCATCCCACCCCAAGGGTGGGCCTGCTCCCTGCCTCTGGGGACAATGGGCTCCTGTAGGCAGAGTTTTCACCCCACTGATATGGTTCCTATGGAGACCCAGAGACCACCCCCTGGACGACCCCTTCTCATTGCTGTGTAACCTATAGTGCAGCCCCTCCCTGTGATGTATATCTCTACCTGTAATTAGTGGGCTGGCATGCCCCCAAAAGGTATATAGGCATGGGCCAGCCATATAGAGGTCTCTGACTCTCTCTGATCTCTCTGACCCCTCGCTCAGACCCCTCTCTCTGGATCCCCTCTCTTCCCCCTCTCCTCTCCAGTCCCTTACCCTCATTCCCTTCCCCCTCTCTCCGCGTGGACCACCAGCTGGGCTGAGGTGAGCAATGCTACCATGTAATGTGTCTGACTGCATTATTGTAATATCTCTCATGCTCTCGATGACTTTAATATAATACTTATATATCTCAACCGTACAATTGTGCATTACTGAACCCGTGGGTAGTAGTAGTAGTAGCAGCGGTGGGGGCTGGCACCCTCACCCCCCACTTCCCCCATTCCATTTAATTTAATACTGCACATCAGCATCGGAACCATTTAGACTCATGGGGGTGAGGAATGTCCAGCCCTTGGGCTTGCTAAGGCCGATGGGATCATCACCACCAGCTAGTGTCCCACACCTCACCAAAGGAAAGCAGTTCCCAGCCATCACTGTAGGAGTGAGTTAGTGAACTATCAGGCAAAAATGACCTGCGAATGATGTTACAAATGTCCAAATGGCCTTTAGCAGAGAAATGCGTCCTCCCCCCTGGTAGACATCGTGGAACCTGGATGAAACACAGCCTCGGTGCAAGGAAGCAGGAGTCAGTCAGACAGCAGTAGGTTCCAGGCTTATGCATATTTTCCACAGACCCAAGTTGATTTGGATCCAGGAGGGCTACACTTGAAAAACGCCAACATATTCAAGTCTGTATTGTTCACTTGAAAAATATAGTTGCTCACGGGGAACTCACGTGTGTCAGAAGAGATTTGCAGTCCATCAGCCAGTAGCTGATGTTCAGGGAACTCGATTTCTTGCGAGGTTGACTCAAAATGTCAACCTTTCAGTTAATAGCCCAGTTTGTTAAACCTTCCCACCACCCACGGACCACTTGGGAGGTCTAGCAACACAATACAAATAGATCACATAGACTACCTCCTGTCAATCAGTCAGAGCTGAGGGCAGTTTCTCATGTAATCCTCACCACACAACCACATGAAAGAAAGATCGTCCTCATGTTTTATAAATGATAAAGCCGAGGCTCTAGCCTGTCTGTCCTTCCATTAGTTACTCCAGGAAACTTTCCAAGCATGGTTCCGAAAGGACTACACTATTTGGAATTTGGTCGTTGGTCTAAACTGCCACCTGAATCATTCATTCTAAGGAGCCCCATGAACAACAGAGGCATGGCTAAGATTATAAGTGGAAGACTGAGTGAATGACTAATTGTTTTCATGCAGAACCAATAAAGAGATAAAGAAAACAAAATACAAGGTAAGCCGTGGGCCTGTGTAAGGCTGACTCCAGGCCTTCAAAATGCAATGTCAGACACTAAAGGAGTATGTGATTTTTCAAAACTATAAAACGGTGAGCACTCCAGTTAGAATGGACTGAGTTTCAGATTCTTGGGAAACAAATTAGGAGCCAATCCTGGCAGCTGAAAGAATTAAGATGAGACAAAGCTGAAGGTAGTAAACATTTGGAAATGATTACCTGAAGTCATGGCCCAAGGCAGTAATGTCTTGGCAGGCAGCCTAGGCTGCAGGTGGGTGGACATCAAGTGGGGAAGGCATAGATAAGGGGAGTTGAAATGATGCGGCAGGGGCATGATGCCTTTTGATAGAAAATGTTTTATAAAACCATTATTTAGTCTAGAAAAATGAAAGTTAA